CCCTGCTTTAGCTTGGGTAGAGCTCTTAGGCGTGGCTGCCTCGACCACTTGGGATCGGACCACACGCGCGACTCTGTAGCACTTGCGTGATGCATGGCTACCAGAGAAGGAAGAAGACAAGTATTCTTCATACTTGGCTTGGTCAAACTCGATCATAAGGGACTCAACAGTTATCCCCTCTGTAACTTTGTCGAACTGCGCCACCACCAATTCATCTGAGTGAACGGTTTCTCCCACTGTGATTGACATCTTCTGTTAGGTTTAAAAAAATTAACTTCCCGTCCGATGGGTCATTTGTATTTATAAGATTGGCTTATTACAAACTAATCATTAATGTTTTACAACAGAGGAGAAGGGAATGTCCCTCCTTATTTAACGTGGGTTTGTCGGCAGCGGTAGGACGTCTTCCTCGGTGCTCGAGCCGAGTTTGCTTCCCTTGGACGATCCGATCGAAGTTGCGGTTGGAGCTTCAGTGCGCAGCAGAGGCTTCGGAGTGATTGAGTTCGACTATACCCGAGCTTAAAAGGTATCAAAGCCACGAGATTAGAGAAAGCTATAATGCAAGGGTTTACATACGGGATTGACTCCCACTCTCTTGGGTATGGGCACGGTATTCCGGACCTTTTCACTTCCTGAGCGTTCATCAACGCATTGATTTTGCTCTCCAAATCTCTCATTTTTTTATCCTCACTCGTATCTGTCTTCGAGTGGTTTCGGGGAGAAGTAATGTGGTCCTCCTTCATATTGTTATCATCCGATGGACCACTCTCATTATTGTTGTTGACGGGAGGGGTGTTCATATTGGCATTATCCTCTACTTCCCGATCATTATCAGTTTGGTAGGGATTATTCCAACGGCTAGACTCTCCCTGATGAGTTGTCAGTGCTGCGATTTGCTGGTCATGCATCTCTCTCATTTGCTGCATAGCCATTTCCATTTCAAATTTGAAATTCTCTTTCTGCTTAGTTAGAGCATCATCGAGAATCTTAGCCATTTGCTCAGCGCTGATCATAAATGATTCGTAGGATTGCCCTGCACTGGATGCTGTATCATCAGAAGCTACTACTGAGCAAGCATCGGAGCAAGCATCGGAGCAAGCATCCGACGTCTCGTCTTCCGAAGGAAGTCCTTCCTGCATTTTTTTGGTAATCCCTTTGTCTGATGGTTCCTGATCGTAATCGGGTCATACGCCTGGATACTGCGGCAAACTGATCCGGACTAAAGTGTCATGTCGACTTTCCTCTCCCGGTCATGTTAACGGACACTTCTGGAAATTCATCATCCTGAAGAGCAACTCTCTTCTTGCGGAAATACCTTGGTCTGGATTCAGATGTTCTTGTGGAGATTCTTTCAAACACCGAAACACTCTCCGGGACGGTCTTAGAACAGCAACACTCTGACAATACCACCTTAATAATTTTAGCACACGGACAGTGAGAATCCGTGTCTCGGGTACTTCTTTTCCTGGATTTGTTCGCACCCCCAGCTTGATAGTACAACTCATTAGTTTGATGACTGGAGCAACCTATCGTGTGTTGGCATGACTTCCCAGGTATAACGTCTTCATCCGACGAGTACGTTTTCTTCTGGGAATATAACGCTTTGTTAACGTCTTCAGGAGTCGCATGTTTAAGGCTACGTTTTTGTGAACGTTGGCCCTCAACAGGCTCCTGGATTTCAACACGCAATCCAATGCGGTCATTTGCGTGACTTTTTCCGTCATACGTTCTCCTCCACTGCTTAGGAGGACGATCACGACCTCCAACCTGAAAAACTGATCGAGATCCTTTCAACGGGCTTGAGCGCTCTCTAACTGGAGCTTTGCCTCGATCACCGTGTGACGGGCCAAGACGATCTTTGATGGTCATCTTAAAATGGGACAAATCCACATTGTTGCGGATCTCCACCGGAGGTGCAGAACTTGTCAGGACAGTAATAGAGGTCGCCGAAAACTCAGACGGGACTGTAGGAAGTGAATCAGCAGCGAAAGGGATCGAACCAGTCTGAGTTTTGCTCAAATCACCATTTGGTGGTTTGACTTTGGCCAAGCCACCATTTGGTGGTTTGACATTGGCCGAGCCACCATTTGGTGGTTTGAATTTGGCCGAGCCACCATTTGGTGTTCTGGTTTTTTCGATGCCTTTGGGCACCGTTTGGGTTGTTCTTGATGCCGGTTTGGACTTTGGCCTCCAGACTCGGCGTGATCTTGGTGGCTTCTTGACCACTTCTTCTTGTTCCAATTTCTGCGCTTCTTGCATCAAAGCTCGTGCATGCGCGAGTAACACGTGGCGTTTCTGGATCCTTTCTTTAAGAGTTGAACGCGTCCTTTTGACGCGGATCCATTCATTCGTGGTTGAGTTGGAGGAGTTGGCTACCCGCTGTTGCGGCGCTTGGCGTCTCCTGGACCTCAGATCCGCTTCATAGCGGATTCCATCAACCGGTTCTAAGGCCTTGGCCATCTGGCGTGCAAGGCGTTGTCGCCGTCTCTGACGTGCTCTCTTTGATAGAACGGGCACGTTATCAGTAGTTAACTCCTCGCTCAAGGAGTTCAGATCTGCGGCGTCGGCTTCGTTGGATGCTAACGGGACACTGCGGGTCATGATTACAGCAGTGGCGGGGAGATCTTCTTGGGTCTTCAAATCCGAAGACCAGCGGACCTTCCTTGACTTGCGAGGAAAGGTGGATCTGGATGGGGAGGACAAATACTCCTCATACTTCTGCTGGTCGAACTCATATTCGACCTCCTCTTCAACCGGGATGAGAATCCGAGGTTGCGACACATCAGCCTTTGCAGAAAGGTTGTCGGCTCCCGCTATGGTCGCCAGCGTGTTTGGGTGGAAAACTGATTTCTTTGATGAGTCCATTACAGCTTCAAACACTTACAATAAACTCAGAAAAATAGCCTTTTTATAAGACTTTTAAATAAAAAAGTACAATTTCTCTCAAACTACACACAATAGAAGTTTATCGTCTATTGTTTGTGCGGGATCGTTGCCGGTGCCGGGGTTTATCCGTGGACCGCCTACGGATCAGATCCGGTGAGCAGAAGTTTGGATAATCAGTGCTTTCGCTTCACGAAGGAAGTGATTGCAACAGCGGCGATTTTGTGACTAAGCAAAATCACGGCTCTTCTTGGGATTTAAGACTAAGCTTAAATCCGGAGGCCGGGAGGGTGGAATGAGTCTCAGATCTCTCGAACTCTTGCTTTGTTGAAGAACTCCGCCAAGATCTGCTAACTCTCTGAAATTCGTGCTCCAATCTCCAATTTGACAGCACTTCATCCTCTTGATTTCCAGATCTGCTAACTCTCTGAAATTCGTGCTCCAATCTCCAATTTGACAGCACTTCATCCTCTTGATTTCCAGATCTCGAAAAATGAACACTAAAGCTCTTATTTATAGGCTTGGTTTACGGTTTCTTCAGATCAAAACGATGGATCCCTTCTATCTTTAGTTAGCAACTGCATAACCACTGTATCAGAACAGTTGGAACTCCCAAATCCCGAAAGAATCCATATAAGAACCGAAAAAACTGATTCTGGTCGNCTCGGCCTTGGCCGAGCCACCAAACGGTGGTTTGGCCCGTGGCCGAGCCATTGGTCTGATCGGATTGTTTCGACGCGTCCCGGTCACCAGAGGCTTTCGTGGTTTTCTAGAGTTCGGCTCGTTCCGTCGTTTGTATGTATCTCATTGCTTCGCCGATCGGTACGCTTCCTCGATTCGCTTTGCGCATTTCGTGAACGCGCGGATCGTTTTGACGGTGGCTGGGCTAATTTTTAGGTTACTTGGCTTGTCGTTCCGATGACCAGCGAATGCGCGGGTCACTTGAAACTGGCTAATGAGTGCGCAGGCCAATTAGAAATAGCCTGTGAGCGCACGAGGCACCTGGTTCATCATTCCGGTGATCGTTGAGCGTACGAGCCACTTGGTTGAATCTTCTTGACGTGGATGACGATGTTTATCGCCTCCTCTTCGTCTCGAGCCGCATACGAGAACTTATAGGCATTTTTAGACGCCTACAATATCTTTTTAAGAAATTATATTATACAATTTTATTTATTAACCCATAGTTTAACTAATTATAAAAAATTTAAAATTTAAAACATGTACTACGATGTAAAGTATATGCTTTATATTAGTATAAAATAAAAGAGAATAATAGGAACCAAAGCCAACTCTACAATATATAGAGGTACCCAAGGGTAAAAAGTCAATTCATTCACTCACTGCTACTCAGTCATTGACTATTTAGAGCATCTCTAACAGCTTCCCCAAAATTTTCTCCAAAATGGAGAAACAAAAGTCATATTCTCCAAATTATTTTTGCTCCAACTCCAACAGCTTCTCCATTTTGAAAAATTGCATTTATTACAATAATAAAGCTCTCCCCAAAATTTTGGAGAATGCTGCAAATTTGGGGAAGGCTCCCTATTTTTTCTCATTCTTCCCTATTTTGGGGAATGAGATGGGGAATCTGTTGGACCAAAAAAAAGCTCTATATTCCCCAAAATTGAGTATTTCAAGAAGATGGAGAAGCTGTTGGAGATGCTCTTACTCAGTTACTCGTAACGGAAATGGGTGTCACCGGCACAAAAACCAGCGACGCTAACGGCTAACGCCGTCAACCTCTCGTCTCCCCCATTCCAGCACCTTCCTGGGCCCCACCCAGAGATCAACATACGTGGCATTCTCTCTTCCACCCACGCGTCCTCTACGAAAGGGCCCCAGCTACGCCCCCGCACGAAGCGGCCCTCCGCCGAAAACCCAAATCACAGGAGACCTCCCGCATAGAAATCCGAAGGTGAGACCTTCAGTTTCCTCTATTTAACGGCGATGCTTAATGGTCGCATACAAACTCCTATGCGTAGCCCTATAACAGGCAAGGTGCGTGCTTCCTTTTTGCATGACCCTCGCCCCACGAGGACAGACATCCAATGAAAACTCGCCACGTGCACACTCACCTCTCTATAAATACGACCCCCGGGGCGCGTACTCGGAGCCCATCGAGAGGCGAGAGCGGTCGAGCGAGCGAGCGAGCGAGGAATTTAACAAATTAATCCTTTCCTTTTCATTATTTATTTTTCTTGAAGCTCGCTCTCCTTCATTTTAATTTCAGAAGAAAAACCCACAAAAAAAAAAAAGAGTTCGAAAATGTTCATTGAGAGCTTCAAGGTCGAGAGCCCGAATGTGAAGTACGGGGACCACGAGATCGAGTCGGTGTACAGTTACGAGACCACCGAGCTGGTTCACGAGAACCGTGGTGGGTCCTACCAATGGGTCGTCAAGCCCAAGACCGTTCAATACAATTTCAAGACCGATACCAAAGTCCCCAAACTTGGGTAATCCCCTTTTCTCTCTCTATATATTTTTTTTTCTATTTGCATGTTAATTTTTTTGTATATTCTAAATTTTGTTTAAATTTTTTTTTGGCGATTTTTTATTTTGGTTCAGGGTGATGCTTGTGGGGTGGGGAGGGAACAATGGGTCAACGTTAACTGCTGGGGTTATCGCCAACAGAGAGTTAGTATTACTGTTAATTTGTTATTAGCTACTGTTAAATCCTTTTTTCGTTATAATTTGTTTATATTTTGAGGGACTTTTGCTAAATCTTTTTTTGGTTGGGCAAAAATATTAGGGGGATCTCGTGGGCCACGAAGGATAAGATCCAACAGGCCAATTATTTCGGATCATTGACCCAGGCTTCAAGTATCAGGGTTGGATCATTCAATGGAGAGGAGATTTATGCTCCTTTCAAGAGCTTGTTGCCTATGGTATTAAACCCTTAATTTCCCTCGTTTTTAATTTTTATTTTAATGTTTTTTTTTCTGGACATAAGTTTGATTCTAAAAGGACGTGCAATAAATTAAGAAAAAGGATAAATTTAGTCAAGTAATAATAGGAAATTAAGTTTGAGTTTGGGAGGAAGAACTTGAGAAAGTGAGCAGATTAAAGAAGGTGAAGATGACTTTCTAATGTGGAACGTATAATTTTAGGAAAGAAGTGGAGTTTCCTAATCTTGGAGGGTTTGTATTTAACGCGCAGATTATTTCCTTTTTTTAAAAGGCAAAACATGCAGATAATTTATTTATTAAATGGCTTTACATATTTGGATAGAATAAGTAATTACTATCTAAGTACACAACAATTGGACTGATTGGTCAAAGATTTGTTTTCTTCTTGGATCACTTCTAACTATTTTGTTGTGTTTGGCAGCTCAGTGAAAATGTGCCACATTTGGTTTTAGAACCGGTTATTTCGAGAACCAGTTTAGAATTTTTAAAATTGAACTTAAGAAAAACATGGAAATTTTGGCCTAATTTTTGCCGGATCAGGTTTAAGTTTAAACCCGGCCGAGGTTGCGAAAGAGGCCCTTTGTCTTTTGTATTAGCATTTCCCCCCCTTCTTTGTCCTTCTTCAGATAGAGGAGAGGAGACCTTCATACATTTAATGTACTAACTTATTATCTTGTTACTAACCGAGGCGGCATATAAGAAAATACCAACGACTTCCAGATACGACAACAAGAACAACATCTTTATACCCAAACTTTTACGAATCATACATTTTTCAGATCAGCTACAATGACTACTAGATCTTATGGACGATGAATTTAAAAAAAAAATCAATGAAACTTTTGCATATTTGAAACAAGAAACCTTTTCATTGAATTTTAACTTTTTATTTTTTGAATTATAACGCAAGATTGTAACGGTGTGGAAGTGAACGTTAAGGCTGTCGATCTCCCTATTTTTACTTATTAATTTTTAAAGTTTGATGGTTATGAGCTGCGTGACGAGCACGTAGATCTCATAAAATGAGCTGTTATCTCATACCCATTACTTCCAAATTCTTATTTTAAACTCTTATTTTGTAGTACTGATAAGTTAATATCTCAATTTTTTTTCCTTATAAATTAAAATGTTGGCAGGTTAACCCTGATGAGATTGTATTTGGGGGATGGGACATAAGTGACATGAACATGGCTGATGCCATGGCAAGGGCCAAAGTGCTTGACATTGACCTACAGAAGCAACTGAGGCCCTACATGGAGTCCATGGTCCCTCTCCCTGGTATCTATGACCCTGACTTCATTGCTGCCAACCAAGGCTCACGTGCCAACCACGTGCTCAAGGGCTCAAAGAAGGAGCAAGTCCAACAAATCATCAAGGACATTAGGTATAATCTTCAATTTATCCTACCATCAATGAATTTGTTGCATCTTTTCTTGCTATAGGACTAGATACTTTGGAAGTGCATGGTTATTTGTTTGAAGAATTTGTCTATTGTTGATCCATCTTGATTTATATACCTTATATGGTCTAGTTGTTAGAAGAACATTGTCTTGGTGTTTGGCGTTGATGTACGCCATGATCCCATGGAGCATGTTTTCTCTTGAGACATATCATTCTATAGCATTATGCAAAGTTATAAGCAATTTGTGAAAAAAATTTAATGCGGCAGGGAATTCAAGGAGAAGAACAAGGTAGACAAAGTAGTGGTCCTTTGGACTGCGAATACGGAGAGGTATAGCAATGTGATTGTCGGTCTCAATGACACAATGGAGAACTTGCTGGCCTCGTTGGACAAGAACGAGCACGAGATATCCCCATCAACCCTCTATGGTATTGCTTGCGTCATGGAGAACGTTCCATACATCAACGGAAGCCCACAGAACACCTTCGTGCCTGGTATAATACTTGCATCTCGTCTCTCAGTCAAATTTTAGTGCAGAATTTTAAGCTAAAGGCTATTATTTCAATTTTGTAGGTTTGATTGAATTGGCTATTCAAAGGAACAGTCTAATTGGAGGAGATGACTTTAAGAGTGGACAGACCAAGATGAAGTCTGTGTTGGTTGATTTCCTTGTGGGGGCTGGAATCAAGGTAACAATATGTCATTACTTGTCGATATTTGGTAAAAAAAATTTCAGGAAATTAAACTTGTTTGCTATTTTCCTGCAGCCAACCTCAATTGTGAGCTACAACCATCTCGGGAACAATGATGGCATGAATCTCTCTGCACCACAAACCTTCCGATCAAAGGAGATATCGAAGAGCAATGTGGTCGATGACATGGTTTCAAGCAATGGCATCCTGTATGAGCCTGGCGAGCACCCTGATCATGTCATTGTTATCAAGGTAATAGACTCTAGAATCTTATGATAGTTATAATTCTTACATAGTGTTGTAGTGTTATAACTTGGTTGATTTTGTTAATTGCAGTATGTGCCGTATGTTGGTGATAGCAAGAGGGCTATGGATGAGTACACATCTGAGATATTCATGGGAGGTCGCAGCACCATTGTGCTGCACAACACCTGTGAGGATTCGCTCTTGGCTGCGCCGATCATACTGGACTTGGTTCTATTGGCTGAGCTTAGCACCAGGATTCAGCTCAAGGCTGAGGGAGAGGTGATTATTGTTATTCCTTTTGATAGTATATTGGGTTAATTACTTGAAGAGACTTTTTTCTGATTGTGTTACTTATTTAATTTTCTTATTTTCTGTGTGTGTGTAGGGCAAGTTCCACTCCTTCCATCCAGTGGCTACCATCTTGAGTTACCTCACCAAGGCTCCCTTGGTAAGGACAAAATCTTACTAGGGCTGTTTTTGGCAAAGACAAAAAAACTAGGCCAGGATTGAATTTCATATTGAATTTTTATTAAAGTAAATCCATAATAAAAATTCCGTTTCAGAAAAAATGAAGTGAAAAATACGGATCGACTAGATTAACTATTGTGAAGTTTATTGAGGGTTACCTGCAGAGGCACATAATAGAACATTTTGAGCTGTTCTGTTATAAAACCAGTTGTTACCGTTACAAAACCAGTTGTTACCGTTACAAAACCAGTTGTTACGGTTACTCTCTTCTCCCATGCCCGAGCTCCGAAAATGAAGTTTGGTATTAAAAATTAATTTATTAAAACTTTCAATCTTCTGATTATCTTACTGTCTGGTGCTTTTGTAATAGGTTCCACCAGGCACACCAGTGGTGAATGCACTCTCAAAGCAAAGGGCGATGCTGGAGAACATCCTCAGGGCTTGCATTGGCTTGGCTCCTGAGAACAACATGATCCTGGAGTACAAATGAGAGCCGATCTTGAGAGATCTAGGGGTTAATAAATTTAGAGGGATTAGAGGAAAGGAAGAGGAAAAAAAAAAAGGAGACCCTGTTCGTATAAGTTTCTGCTTGGATGTTGTCGTGTTAATGGCTTGGTTTGTTTAGTTATGGTATGGGGTCTGCTTCTCCTCTTCTCAATGTCTATGTAATGGTTCTTATTTTCTTTTCTTTTATTTTTTCTTAGATGTCTTGTAAGCCTAAACTGTGAAGGTCCAAAATGAGTTTCTCTCATGTATTTGTGACCTCTTAAGTAATATAAGTGGTGTTTTTCTATATGATTTTCCATTGTATAATCCTTTTGCCCTGCGCACTCTGGAGTGGTACTCCTCATATTTGTGTCCTGTTCAAATAACTTCCAGTCCGAGCTTCGTTTTCCTTGAGATTTGACTCAGTACGTGTGTCCGCTTAGTAAAAATGTTGTATATGTTAGAAGATAATTTGTAATTCTAGAACACTCTATAATAATCTTGTAATATGGAAAGCTTCTAGAGATAACTCGGACTAGAAATATGACAAAAATAAGATATATCTAGAATATAGGAATATTATAATATACTCTAGAATGTTTCATGTAAAATACCTATGATCTAGATAGTTCTATATGTGCCTATAAATAGGCAATTGATGTAAGCATTGTGAACAAGTTTTGAAGCAATTAAAACAAAAGTTTCTTCAAGCTAGCCACTTCCCTATCAACTTTTCATTTCCTTTCTACTTCCTATACTCTCAATCCTCTAAAACTAAAATCGATTACCCATCTAGCTTCCGCAACTCCAACAGTATCGACCACAGACGGTCATAAATAAATGATTCTATTAGAACACCTCATAAAGGGATGATTTATATCATTCACGGACAGTTAGAAGTGTTGTGCGCGGCGGAAGCTTTCTAGGGCAACACGAACAATAACTAAAACTAAACCACAAGCAATATG